CATTGCTCTCCTCCCAAGAAGTAAACGTCTTCTGATTTCTTGGCTGTAATCTATATCTGCAGTAATCTTTGTGCCTAGAAATACAAAGTGTGTCACTGCCTCCACCTTTTCTCCCTCTATTTCTTTCTCTATTTTAACTTAATGTAAGATAATACATTAAGAGGGGCCGACCAAGGACAAAATGGATGGATGGTATCCTCGAAGTGACTGGCTTGACCCTGAAGGAGCTGGGGGAGGTGATGGCTGACAGGTAGCTCTAGCATGGGCTGGTCCATGAGGCTACGAAGAGTCAGAAGTGACTGAACAAATAAACAACAACAAAGAAAGAACTCAAGTTGCCCAAGACTACCCAGTAAGATTTATGGCTGAATATGGCTAAACTTTGTTTGAGGTTTTTTATACATTATAACTGTATTCTCAATTCACTCGACACAATAAATACCATGTAGTTTCTAAGCTAATTTTGATCCAATGAAAAACTTCTGATTTCATACAATTACTACCTAAGATTGCTATTGATGCTAGTGGGAATTGTGTGAAACCAGTTATGATAACACTATTTAAGCCTACTTACTCTTTTATCAAATTGCTCCCAGTTAAAATTAACAACTAACACACCAAGATCTCAGGAAACAGTCCTGAGTCCCCCTTCAGGGGTTGAGAAGTGGCAGGATAGAAGTATAGTAAATAAATAAATAAGATGAAGAAACTGTTTCAGAAATTTTCCATTCATATAGTAATGGAGCTGTTAAGGCTTACCTTCCCAGTATTGTATGGCGGCTGGGAAATTGTGATAACAACAGCAAAAAGAACTGATTAAAAAAAACTACCCATACTTGTCTCACTTTTCCCCAAATTTCTCATCCTGGAGTTCTCAGTGGAAATATATATTGAAGAAATGTGAAACTGCAGTTTGAAACATGTGCATCTTCTAAGTACTGTTTTTAGAATGTACATTCTAATGCAAAACTAACCCCATCAAGCTTTGGCTCTCTACAACTGTCTTCCAGCATTCATTCCACCAAGCAGGAACATGTCCAGAGGAGGGCAATTAAAATGATCAAAGGTCTTGAAACCATGCCCTATGAAAAACTGCTTAAAGACTGAGTAGGTTTAGTCTGCAGAAGAAGTTGAGAGGAGATATGATCGCCATGTTTAAATATTTGAAAGGCTATCATAAGGAAGAGGGAACAGGTTTGTCTTCTGCGGCCTTGGAGACTAGGACTCAGAGCGATGGAGTCAAATTACAGGAAAGAAAATTCCACCTGAACATTAGGAAGAACTTCCTGACTGTAAGAGCTGTTCAGCAGTGGAACTTTCTGCCTCGGAGTGTGGTAGATGCTCCTTCTTGAGGGGCTTTTAGAGGCTGGATGGCCATCTGTCGGGGGTGCTTTAATTGTGCTTTTCTTGCATGGCAAGGGGTTAGACTAGATGGCCCACGTGGTCTTTTCCAACTCTGTGATTCTATGACTGTATAAAAAGAAAGAATGGAGGGATACCTTTGAAGAAGCCAGGTCTGCTGGGCTTTCCCTTTCCCCAGCTCATGTCTATGTCAAGGCTGGGAAACTGTTACATCAAGAAACTCTCACAGCCTTGGAATTTAGTTATCTTGCATTGTTGCTATTGGTGAAGCTCTACCATTTTTCCTGTTCCCCAATATAACTATTGTGTATATTTTGATCATTTTGTGTTTGATCAAATTTCCCTTGAAGAGAGTTTGGCTGCACATTTTAGATTAGCCCAGGTTGCCTTATGCGGTTTTGCTAAAGTTATGCAATTCCTGATAGACAATTATATACTCAGAACGTGTATGGATTCATTCATATGTTCCGACGGCATACTTGGTAATAAAGGTCTATACTAATAAATGGATATGGCTCATTAAACATTACAAAACCAACAAACCAGCAGACATGCATCCTTTGCAAAACCACTGACATTAGTTAGCATGATGGAGTTGGAAGAAACCGCAAGGGCCATTCAGTCCAACCCCGGACTAAAGCGTAATGCAATTTGTTATCTGAATCCTGATAGTCACCCAGTCTATAATCCAGTTCAAAACAGAACACATCTCACCATGCTAAAACAGTGGATGTGGCTCTTAATGAGACATGTTGCATTATCACAGGATGTCTACACCCTACACCACTGGAGAAAATATACTGTTTAGCTGGTATTGCACCACCTGACATCTGCCGGGAAGTAGCCGCCAATAATCAAAGGACCGAGACAGTTACATCTCCAGCCCATTTGGTTATCAGCAAGCACACCAATGCCTTAAATCAAGAAATAGTTTTCTAAGATGTTTCTAAAATGTTTCATATAACATTTATAATATTATAATGTAATACAATATAATACTAGTTATAGTAATTCAATACTATAATTATAATTATATATTTACATTACATGTAATATTACTAATAATATTACAATATAATGGTATAGTGCAATATAGTAATATATACTGATATTGTACTATGCTAATAATATAATATATTGTATGAAAATATATATTGTAAGCCGCTCTGAGTTCCCTTCGGGGTGAGAAGGGCGGCATATAAATGCCGTAAGTAAATAAATAAATAAATAAGATCTTCAGAGATACTTGCAGGAACACCTCAGCAAGCAAGAGTCCAAAAGTGGCAGGCTAAAACCTCAAGCCATGGCTGATACTAAATGAGAGACTCCCTCCTGGGCACACAAAAGACTGGGTAAACCCGGGCCAAATAGAATGGCAGTGCGACCAGGAGGTTCTTCCACTCCAGGGGTAACCAATATATCCCCCTAGCTCTGCAAGTCTTCAAAGCAAAGACGATGTCACAACTTCTCTATGGAGCACCCATCTGGTTAACCCCCAATAACAGCGCCATCAGATCTTTTCATTCGAAATTCCTCCACAAACTATATGGTGCCCCCAACTGTGTCCCGTATGCAGTTGTCTTGAATCTGGGCAATATTCTATTGAGGCTACTATCTGGCTAATCGTCATTAAATTTTGGCTATCTATACACTATCAAAGTCCCAGCGACTCTCTGACTCAACTCACCTTGAGCGAACTCCACCATTCCAAATGGTGCTCAACTGTCCTAGCAAAGATCAGGGAATTGGGCTACGACAGCGATTTCCTGACTCTACTATCTGTTTCCGAGATTTCTACCCTCATCAAAAGGAGGCTGCTAGAAAGGGACTACAACCAATTGTTGAGCTTGGCAAACAAATCCTGCTCACCTATTAACTTGGCAATTCCATACACACAGGGAAATCCAGCCTTTTACATCACAGAGCTCACCAACCCCTCTTACAGAAGAGCCTACATGCTGGCTAGATTTAACATCATGCCATCGCCGCTCCATAGAGGAAGACTCAATGGCCTCCCGAGCGACAAGAGGGTCTGCCCCTGCAGCACAGGACAGCTAGACTCCATACCGCATATTCTCCTGCACTGTCCATTCTACCAGGAGCTAAGATCCAGTCTGCTAACACAAGCTATAGATTCACTGAAGAACCGCAGCGATTCTGACAAAGTGATTTTGCTTTTAAATTGCCAGGACTTTAGCTGCTGCCTTTCAGTGGCAAGATTCCTGAATGAAGTCTGCAAACTGAATGTGTAGCAAACGAGAAGCCCTTTATTACGTGTACTATGTTTTATACTCTCTGCCATGTTATGCCAATAAAGGCTTATTGTATTGTATTGTTGTAAAAGACTGGGTAACTTGGAAGGTGCTGAACAGACTTTGCTCTGGCATGAGATGCAGAGCCAACATTAAGAAATGGGGCCACAAAGTGGAGTCCACAACATGCAAACGTGGAGAAGAGCAAACCGCAGACTACCTATTACAATGTAGTCTGATCCCTGCCACATGCACAATGGAGGAACTTCTTACAACCACACCAGAGGCACTCCAAGTGGCCAGCTACTGGTCAAAGGGCATTTAATAAAATGCCAAGTATTTAAACTCTGAGGGTTTTGTTTTTTTAAAACACATTACAATTGTACATTCACTTTGGATATGATAAATAAATTGCTAAATTGATTCACCATGACATTAAAAATGTTTCTTTCAGCTAATCCTGGCTAATCTGGCGGCGGCCAGGATGTTAACTGGTGCTCCCTACAGAAAGAGGTCAACCCTCCTGTTTAAGGAGCTCCATTGGCTGCCGTTTATTTTCTGAGCCCAATTTAAGGTGCAGGTGCTTACCTACAAAGCCCTAAACAGTTTGGGACCATCCTACCTGCGTGACCGCATCTCCGTTTATGAACCCACGCATTCTCTTCGTTCATCCGGAGAGGCCCTGCTCACGATTCCACCTGCGTCCCAGGCACGTCTGGTGGGGATGCGAGACAGGGCCTTTTCTGTGGTGGCCCCCCGACTCTGGAACTCCCTCCCCAAAGATATCAGACAAGCCCCTACCTTGGCAGTCTTTAGGAAGAACTTGAAGACCTGGCTGTTCCGATGTGTCTTTCCAGATTAGGAAAACTCCAGTAACATGTCCCAGAAGCACTTTATTAGAGTTTAAGATTGCCCGCACACTGCACTTACCCTAAAATCCGATATACCACCTGTCACATCAGGACTTTTAACCTTTACCCATTACATTGGCCCAGCCCTGTTTTCTTGTATTTTGGTGTATTGTTTTTATTGTTTTGTTGTTTGATATTGCTTTAATTGCTTTGATTTGCTTTAAGTTGTGTATTTTGTTATGCTATGTTTTATTGAGGCCTTGGCCTGTGTAAGCTGCATGAAGTCCTTCGGGAGATCCTAGTGGGATACAAATAAAGATAATAATAATAATAATAATAATAATAATAATAATAATAATAATAATAATAACGTAAAATTACTCTTATTTTTATTTTTTTTCCATACCTGAAAAGCACTTTTGAGTGACATTTTTACTGTGTAAAATGATGTCTAGCTTGTGTTTTTTTTCATTTTTTTATTTTACAGAACTGTCTTGGTACTCATATTAGAACAATACTGGTAAAAAACACAATATGTTTGTTTGATTTTTACTATTATTTCTGCAAACCTTTATACACTCCCCATTTGATTATGCACCAGATGAATGTGAATCTTCTTACTTAAAACATATAAATAATCACAGGTGTGCAAAATAATTATTTTGTTAAATACATGAAGCAGAAAACTGAATGTATAAAAAATACATAAGGGTTAAGAAGGGAGAAAACCAAAATGCTATTTCTATGGTATTTAATTGTCATCTGCCTCGAGATTTATATTGTTGCCAAACTTTGCATAAAGCTGGACTTTAAGGTCTGATAATACTCTCTGGATCGATTCTACTCGAGACTCCAAAGCTCCAATTTCTTCCTGCAAATTTTGCTGCAAAAGAAAAAGAAAGTTTATGACCAGAAGAAAAGGCATTGTTCTAAAACTTTCAAATGGTGTTATCAGAAGAAGCAGTGGGTTTACTAGATTCAAGGATAGTAAATGAACTCAATTAGAGTTTCATTTATTGACTGGTCCCCAACCCCACTGCCACTGTGTTGTTTTTTTAAAAAGCCAGGGAGGGAGAAAAGAGACATAATTCCTCACTTTTGCTTCCTCCAACATCTCTTGTGTCTCATCTTGGGAGTGGCTAATGAAGACGTCTCCAATTTGGTAAGGTATGAATAGCGAGTCGTCATCAAGCATCATGATGTCATCACATGCATCTTGCAAGTTCTGAAGCTGTTTCTGTGATCAAGAAAATCAATCAGTTCCCATGCAACAAGATATAAACCGGCAGATAACACTGTAGCGTCTGACCTATAGAATGTTTATGGCCATATAGGAAAGACAATTGGAGGTCACAATTCAACGTTCTATGGAAGCATTAAATCTCAAGAACTGCAGTACTGAAAAGGGAGAAAATGCAAATTGTTTGCAAGGAGCTTTTTGGAAAGTCACTGAAAATGTTCTTACAATTTTCTCATCATTGTGTATTAGGATTCCACAGATTGTGTATTAGGATTCCACAGATTCCACAGCTAAGAAGTCAATGAGCAACGATGGTGAACCATCTCAGGATAAGGCGGTCACATGGAGCTCTATCCCAACTCACAAGGGGATTTTTAAAAAAATGTTATGCCCCAAATCATAGTAGCAAAAAAGCTTCAATCTTCTTTAAACAACAAAAAGCTTACTGCCTCCTGTTTGTTTTAAAAAAATTAAACCAGAAGGGGGGTTGTTGTTGTGTTTGTTGCTACATTTGCTACCACAATTTTGACAGAATTCATAAAAAGATATGGGTAATTATTTAGCACATTGATACATACAATGATCTGACAAATTAAATTTCAGTTTTCCTTTTAGATTATGGATATTAGATTATGGATACTACTACGCATTAGTATCTATTAAAATTATACTAGTGCTGTATCTATTTATTGCTGATATTGACTATTATTGCATTCATTTTCTGTGGCAATAAAATTTATTTCTTTATTTTATGCATTTATATACCGCTTTCCTCACCCCTGGGGGGACTCAAATCAATTCACATCAAATAAATGGCAAAAATTCAATGCCTCGCATAAAATAAAAAACAGTGTATCACACATCTAAAACAGTAACATATAACCATAAATTAAACCATTAAAAACTATAAACCATCAAACATAAACATGAAACATTTTGACATTGTACTGATACCAAGGTTATCATCTATATGCTACATTATTGTTGTCACTCACCGAACGCTTGTTTACATAACCACGTTTTTAGTTGTTTTCTAAACACCAGAAAGGAGGGGACCGATCTAATCTCGCTAGGGAAGGAGTTCCAAAGCTGAGGAGCCACCACTGAGAAGGCCCTGTCTCTCGTCCCCACCAATCGCACCTGCTATGGCAAGACCTCCCCAGCTGCTCTTAATGTTCTAACTGGATCATAGAGGGAAATTTATGGAACAATGCTTTTTTAAAACATTGCAGAAAAATACAGTACTGATAAATTTTACCATGACTCTGGTCCCTCCTTGATATGCAACTGCAAAAGGTGATGTATAGAGATTTATGTACTACACTGTGGCTATAAGCCTATGGTGTTTCTTGGGGTGGGGTTTTGTCCTCTATGCTATGTAACATACGTGCATAACTCACTTATCAAAGTTTCCAACAAAGTTCTTTTTTATAAAATATTTTGATGCTCATCCAGTTTCTTCTGTCTAGCTGATAAATTACCTAGTAATAGTTATCGGAAAGGTAGTGAAGAGGGAATGGAGAAACAGACTTTCGGTGATATGTAGCAATAGTATGTCACCAATACAGCTGAAAAAGAATGGTACACTACTCTAACTTATCCTACAGAAGTCGTGTCTGCCTACCTGCAAAGAGGAAAGCAGATAAACCTGATTCACCAGTTATCCCTAGCACTTTAAAACACAGATCTATAAATTTAGTCGCCAAGTTATAGTTATTATGGAAATTATTAGAAAGGTGGTAGCTCGTGAAAAAAAAGTTTAACCTTATATGCACTGCAGAACAAGTCATCAAGTGGTCGCTATTAGGTTTTAAATGCTTTTGTTTAATTGTATAAGGCTCACCTGACCTGGTTGTCTCACTTCACATGTGTATACTTGTTAGTTTTGAATAAAAAGTCAGCTGAAACATGCTGAACAACCTCTGTTCTATTAAGGAAACAATCCCCAGGTAAACACCTTTTTCATTAACCGGGGCATACAATTTGAGGTTCTGATGCTACCAGTAAGGTGTGTACATAACACTCTCTTTTTCTTCAAACTGAAACGAGGAAGGTTGTTCTAGTTCTAAATCACCATCCTATATTGGTAGTGGGATGGAAAGAGGCAAACAAGAATTATTTCTGACAACACAGGTCCTCTGGATTCATTTAAAGGCAGATTAAATAAGAGGCATTCAATTTATATTGGCTAATATGGCCCAAGTGGGCTAAGGGAAGTTCCACAATTTGAAAATGTGCTTGAATTCTCCCAAAATGTAAGCACCAAGTTTCCAGCATTATCTACCAGTGTTTCCAAAAACAATTTTATTTAGTAGTGTGACATTTAAAAGTATTTTTGCTATTTTAAATTTTGTTTTCAACTGACAAATATTTATGTTTTAACTATTCTGTTTTATCTGTACTTAATAATAGAAGCCTTAAATACCCTAAAAGTACCAGTTCCATCTCATCTTGGAAGCTAAGCGGGTCAATTCTGGTTAGTATTTGGATGGAATGCTGTCAACTAAGAACAATTCAAGGTGCAGGTGATTACCTACAAAGCCCTAAACAGTTCAGGACCTGCCTATCTTCGCGATTGTATCTTCCCCTATAAACCAACATGAGCCCTAAGATCATCCGGGCAGGCCCTCCTCTTGCTTCCGCCTCCATCTCAGGCGCGGTTGGTGGGGACGAGAGCGAGGGCCTTCTCGGTGGTGGCCCCACAGCTCTGGAATTCTCTTTCTAGGGAGATGAGACTGTCACCTATCCTGTCCTCCTTCTGCAAGAACCTAAAAATATGGGTGTTCAGTTGTGCCTTTGATTAGGCAGTTCCAAAGAATTGGCCTTTTAATACCTAAGTTCCGGAACTTTAGCATGGCCCTCCGATCTACAATCCTGACATTATAAAGCCCAAGGACATCTCCTATCCCTGCCACTGAATTTTGAACTTTTCCTTAGCTCTATATAGGGATATTGCACAAACTCGGAGCCCTCTGAACTCAGTACTTTAATTGCACCTGTGGTATTGTTTTCATGATGTTATGCTTTATTGTGATATGTTTCTATTTGGTTTTGTTTTGTTTAAATTTTATTGCATTACGTTTTAACTCTGGGCTTTCTGGGCTTGTCCCTTTGTAAGCTGCCCTAAGTCCTTTCGGGGAGTTGGAGGCAGGATATAAAAATAAAGTTGTTATTATTATTATAAGTCCCGTAAACTATATTTCAAGAGGAAGGAACTGGCAAAACCATTTGAGTATCCTTTGTGTTAGAAAGCCCTGTGAAATTCATGGAGTTGCCATAAGCTATCAAGCAATTTGAAAGTACATAAAAACACTATTACTGTTTTGTATTATTGCTATTTTAGATAGAAAGAAGGGATGGAAATACTAAATAAATAAATGGGAGCATAATTTCCACACAAGTGAATAGAACAATTATGAACAAGTTAGACACATTATGTTGGGGATACCTTTTTATCCTCTATTTCTTCTTTCAATTCTGTTATTCTACTGGTGTTTCTTGCAAACTTGTTGATTTTCTGTTGATCTTCAAAGGTAACATTGACATCTTCAGCTGCCTACACAAAACCAACACAAAAAGAGAAAGCTCATACATGTACTTCAAGAAACAATAATCTGCTCTTTCAATGAACCTAGGATATACTATCTCACCATTCAGTTCAAGCTTAAATCAATTTATCAACATTTCATCAGTGTCGTTTCTCAAAAGATTCTAAAGCAGCGAGTTGTCATAAACTCCGTAAAGACAAGGGAACAAAGTGAAGATCAAGATAACCAAGTCGCATGAGGAAAAAAAAAATCCATAAAGTATCTGCATACCCAAGAGACCCAAGAGTTACCATAGAGAATTCTGAGATCACAAAGGACTCAATGTTTATTTTTAAAAAGGTAAGGTGGAGCTTTTTTTCTCCTTCAGGACCCTCTGAATAAGCATTAATACAGTGTGTCCTGTAAAACAAGAAGTGGTGCAGTCTATCACAATGGAGTGAAAACAGTGAGCAGTGTTTTCCAAACTTAAATGTGAGAGCAAGTCATTAACAATTATGTTACTGCCTTAGCAAGATATTATTCAATGTTATAGTTGGACATATTTTCTGTTCTACTGTTTGACAGTTTCAGAAACACTTAAACTTTCAAAGTGCTTGGATACCCTAGCTTGGACATAAATTATAAAGAAACATATTTTAAGTTACCTTTTACATGTCTCCAAATGGAACATATTATTGATAGAATAAATGTTATCGACATATTAAAAAAAACCCACAGTCAAATATATCAGCATGTAAGTTTCATACCACCTGATTCCAGAAGGTAAGTAGACCTGATTACTACCTGAATGGAAGACCATGAAAAAAAAAATCCTCAAAGATCTCCATAAAGAATAAGAAAATAATCATGCTGTACCATTGCTGCCATTCAAGAGTTGATTACGTTGGCCTACATGGATCAAAACAGTTTCTTGTGTTTTCACATAAATTATGTACCTTAGTACATTTCTCATCTGCTTTAATAGGAGCCGCGGTGGCGCAGTAGGTTAAACCAGGGGTCCACACACTTTTTAAACAGAGGGCCACGTCACAGTCCCTCAAACTGTTGGAGGGCCAGATTATAATTTTTTAAAAAATGAATGAATTCCTATGCTCACTGCATGTATCTTATTTGTAGTGAAAAAAACCACTTAAAAAGAATGCAATAATTAAAATGAAGAACAATTTTAACAAATATAAACTTTGTTAATAAACTTTAGTATTTCAATGGGAAGTGTGGGCCTGCTTTTGGCTGGTGAGATAGGATTGTTGTTGTTGTTGTTGTTGTTGTTGTATGCTTTCAAGACTTAGGTTGATCCTAAGCAAGGGCTGGGTAAATGACCTTGGAGGGCTGTATCCGGCCCTCGGGCCTTAGTTTAAGGACCCCTTGTGCCGGCTGAAGTGCTGACCTCAAAGTTGGCAGTTCAAATTTGCAAGACAGGGTGAGCTTCCGTCTGTCAGCTCCAGATTCCCTTGCGGGGACATGAGAAAAGCCTCCCACAGGATGGCAAAACATCCAGGCATCCCTGCAGATGGCCAATTCTCTTACACCAAAAGCAATTTGAAGTTCTCAAATCGCTTCTGACACTTGAGATTTCTTTGAATGAGTTTTTTCTGCTTTTTTGACAGGGGGTTGGACTGGATAACCCATGAGGTCTCTTCAAACTCACTGATTCTATGACACAATACAGAAAACCCTACTTTAATCCAGAATTACAACTTGAGCAAAAGAGAGCATAAACAGAGCTTCCCACTTATCCCCCAACAGTCTATATGACAGTAGACTTTTAAAAAATCAAGAAGACACCTGCTGAATCAAAGAACTGATCCTGCTATGCTAACTGCAGATAGATAAAATACTTCTTTTGCTCCTTTGGCCACACTAAAATACAGCATTAAAGTTTCTTGGTAATAAATTAGACTGAGAAGGAGGCCATGGTCCTGAGTTTGCAAGACATGAGCAGAGCCTCTTGATGTCTCTCATCCATAGATGTGCCATAAATTGAAGGCAACTTAATAGCAAACATTCAATGCCGTGAGACAAACAAAAAAAATCATATAAAGCACAATAACATCCAGAAATATGATATAAATAAAAATAAGCATTAAAAACATTTAAAATTAATTACAATTATTGTGGGGACTCATCAATTAAATATTGTATTTCGCTAAGCTCTGGGCAAATCAACCTTGTTGTCATTAGCAATTGAATTCAATCATCAAAAGCGTGCTTGAACAGGTAGGTCTTCAGCTGATTCTTGAAAGATAACAGGGAAGGGCCAGTTTTAATCTCAATGAGGAGGGAGTTCCAATATCATATATTATATTAGTATCATATATTGTACTATATTATATATTGATATATATCAGTGGTTCTCAACCTGTGGGTCCCCAGGTGTTTTGGCCTTCAACTCCCAGAAATCCTAACAGTTGGTAAACTGGATGGGGTTTCTGGGAGTTGAAGGCCAAAACATCTGGGGACCCACAGGTTGAGAACCACTGATATATATAGTATAAAAGGATGAACATTAAGCACAGGCATGTCCAACTCTGGGGGTTGGTGCTCATCTCCATTTCTAAGCCAAAGAGCTGGCGTTGTTTGTAGACACCTCCAAGGTCATGTGGCCAGCATGACTGCATGGAGTGTCATTACCTTCCCGCAGAAGCGGTACCTATTGATCTACTTACATTTGCATGTTTTCAAACTGCTAGGTTGGCAGAAGCTGGGCCTAACAGCAGGTGCTCACCCCACTCCTGGGATTTGAACTGCCAACCTTTCAGTCAGAAAGTTCAGCAGCTCACCGGTTTAACCCACTGCCCATATAATACCCTACCAGTATATTAGTAAAAATAATAATTATTATTTATATTCTGCTTTTCTCCCAGTTTAATCCGCTGTGCCGCCTGAGGGCCCATATATATAGTGTGTGTGTGTATATATATATAGGTATAGGTTGTCCCCTGACATTAAGTCCAGTCATGTCTGATTCTGGGGTGTGGTGCTCATCTCCATTTCTAAGCCGAAGAGCCAGCGTTGTACATAGACACCTCCAAGGTCATGTGGCCAGCATGACCGCATGGAGCGCCATTACCTTCCCGCCAGAGCGGTACCTATTGATCTACTCACATTTGCATGTTTTCGAACTGCTAGGTTGGTAGAAGCTAGGGCTGACAGCGGAAGCTCAGGCCGCTCCCTGGAATCAAACCTGCGACCTTTTGGTCAACAAGCTCAGCAGCTCAATGCTTTAACCTACTGCGCCACCAGGGGCCCCGTGTGTGTATATTATATATTGTATAGACTACAACTTTTATATATATATATATATATATATGGTGTATATGTATGTGTGTGTATATATACCCTATATATACCCCACATATATATATATATATATATATATATATATATATATATATATATATAAGTTGTAGTCTATACAATATATAATATATTATATTACAACATTATTAATATTACTTATTTTATTTACTTATTTATGCGGAGCACAACATATAGACGGCACTGCTGGGACATAAATAGACTACACACATACATAAACATTAAAATCTTTTACCTCGACATTAAAAACCACTGTAAAAAAATTACATAAAATACAGTAGCACTATTACATTGCAATGCTATTATTCCCATATATTATTATACATAGATATTAGGGGAAGGCATCCCTCGCCACCCCCACTTCCTCCCCGTCCTCTCAAATACAAGAAAGTCCACCAAGCCGAGAGAGAGAAGCCTGGGCCCTGGGCAAGCCTCTCTCCCGCCTTTGCTGAGACCACTCACCGCTTTCTTCATGGTGGCCGCCATCTTGGGGACTGAACTATTTCCCCTCCTCGGCGGGGAGGTTTCTTCCCCACCTTCTTGTCTTTCCCACCGACTTCGACTTTTCTTTGTGTTTTTCTTAGAGGCATTTTAAAAGCACGCTGCATTTTAATTTTTTAAAATTTATTTTTGGCGGAACTATCACTCTGCTGTCTACTCTGGTAATTTTAGCCACCCCGCAGCGGGAGTTGGTACGGTCCGCAGTCTAGCATTGAAAGGGACGAGGAAGGCTCGTCGCCGGCCTGAAAGAACGAGGCGAGGAGGGAGAGCTGCAATACGAGCTGATCAACACAAGGTGGCGCAGTGGGCCTTCTGATGCAGCGGAAGCAAAGAATGAATGAGAGGCAAGTTTAGGGATTTATTTCTTTATTTATGTTTATATCCCACTTTATGTCTCCATACGGAGACTCAAAGCAGCTCACCATTACAACTTCAAATATACAAATATAAAATAATAAAACAGTTTAGCATTTTATATTATATATTATGAGTTGTATTATGTGTAATATATTAGTATGATTATATTACAGTATTGTATATTATTATATTGTGTTGGTATATTGTATTAGCATCGCACAATATTAAAATTAAATACGTTGTACTATACTGCAATATTATTAGTAATATTGCATGTAATATATAATATACAATGTTGTTGTTGTTCATTCGTTCAGTCGTCTCCGACTCTTCGTGACCTCATGGACCAGCCCACGCCAGAGCTCCCTGTCAGCCATTACCACCCCCAGCTCCCTCAAGGTCAGTCCAGTCACTTCAAGGATGCCATCCATCCATCTTGCCCTTGGTCGCCCCTCTTCCTTTTGCCTTCCACTTTCCCCAGCATAATTGTCTTCTCTAGGCTTTCCTGTCTCCTCATGATGTGGCCAAAGTACTTCAACTTTGTCTCTAGTATCCTTCCCTCCAGTGAGCAGTCGGGCTTTATTTCCTGGAGGATGGACGGGTTGGATCTTCTCGCAGTCCAAGGCACTCTCAGAACTTTCCTCCAACACCACAGTTCAAAAGCATCTATCTTCCTTCGCTCAGCCTTCCCTAAGGTCCAGCTCTCACATCCGTAGGTTACTACAGGGAATACCATGGCTTTGACTAGGCGGATCTTTGTTGACTTATATTTTATCGAGATTGGACATTGCTCTCCTCCCAAGAAGTAAGCGTCTTCTGATTTCCTGGCCCAGTCTGCATCTGCAGTAATCTTTGCGCCTAGAAATACAAAGTCTGTCACTGCCTCCACATTTTCTCCCTCTATTTTCCAGTTGTCAATCATTCTTGTTGCCATAATCTTGGTTTTTTTTTATGTTTAACTGCAACCCAGCTTTTGCGCTTTCTTCTTTCACCTTGATTAGAAGGCTCCTCAGCTCCTCCTCGCTTTCGGCCATCAGAGTGGTGTCATCTGCATATCTGAGGTTGCTAATGTTTCTTCCAGCAATTTTCACCCCAGCTTTGCATTCATCAAGCCCCGCACATCGCATGATGTGTTCTGCATACAAGTTAAAAAGGTTGGGTGAGAGTATGCAGCCTTGCCGCATGCCTTTCCCAATCTTGAACCAGTCTGTTGTTCCGTGGTCAGACTCTAACAAATTGGTATAATTATATAGTTAACATGTTAAATGTGGAAATAACAAATTGTAAATTGAACAATATAGATAAAATAGAAAACGTTGTAGTAATTCAGAGTATGGGGGATCCAATTAGAAATTACTGAGGGCCCTTCCACACAGCCCAATATACCAGAATATCAAGGCAGAAAATCCCACAATATCTGCTTTGAACTGGGTTATCTGAATCCACACTCAGATAATGTGGGATTTTCTGCCATGATATTCTGGAATATAGGGCTGTGTGGAAGGGCCCTTAGAGAATGTATTAAGTGGAAAAATTGATATTAAGACTGATATTTCAAATGTAATTTCTGTAGCTTAATGTGGAAAGAGTATATCCAAGGGGGAAGGGTGGCGGGTGGAAGTGGGGCAAAACCACACCATAAATAATAATTAGTTAAAATCTATTATCCAAAATGCTTGGGATGAGAAATGTTTAGGATTCCCTTTTTCCACTTATATTTTGGAATATTTGCATTTAAATAATAAGATATCTTGAAGATGCTACCCAAGTCTAAATACAGCATCATTCATAAATCCCTTATACACGTAGCCTGGTGGTAATTTTTTATACAATATTTTTTTAAAAAATTGTGCATACTTTGACCCATTAGAAAGCAACATGTGGCACCAACAAGTCTCAACAGATGTGATTGCATTGTGAGGTTTAGCTGTACACAATGAATTTTGTGGTGTGTTCTAAATAGAAACTGAGAACAACCTGGTGACCTCCGTACCACAAAATCCATTGTCTGTAGCTAAGCTCCGTGAAACACCCATATTTATTCTGACTCATGGGGCAGAACCTCACAACCTACCGACCAGATGTTTCTTGTAATCTGAGAAACAGAGGTTTAGGTCCATAAAGCCAGGATATTATCTCAGCCGGGACATACTCTGACCTCTTCCACACAGGTGAATACGATCCCACATTATCTGCTTTGAACTGGAATATATGGCAGTGTGGACTCTGGTAACCCAGTTCAAAGCAGATATTGTGGTATTTTCCGCCTTGATATTCTGGGTTATATGGCTGTGTGGAAGGGCCCATAGAGAATATATATTAAAAAACCAAAGTATGCATTTATTTATGTATGGTATTGGTTTGTTCCACAAATGCTCCTTCATGGCTTGATGGAGCTGGACCATAATTGACACACGTACCCTTCATCGTCCAACATGAAATAATGGAGGGATTCAAACTTTTTTTTTTTTAAAAAAAAAACCTTTCAAGCTTAGAGCAGAGGGAAAAATAAGGACAATGCTGATTGGTTGTGGCTGGGTAAACAATTGGCTGTTGCTAGGTGAAGTGGCCCTCTGTGATGTCACAAAGAAAGAATAGAGTAATGCAGCTTGGCTGCTGCTATGTGACARCTATTGAGAGGAAGAGAGGAAAGGAAGGAAGGAAYGGATAGGGGGGYAAGGGAGGAAGAAGGGAGGGAAGGGAAAAGAAAGAAAAAAAAGGAATAGAAAGAAAGGAAGAGAAAGGACAGAAAGGGGGAAGGTGTATGAGAGAAAGCAAGTGAGGGATGGAGAGAGGGAGGGAGGGAGGAAAGGATYGGGGGGGAAAGGGAGGGAGAAGGGAGGGAGGGAAGGGTGAAGAAAGAAAAAGAAGGGAATAGAAAGGAAGGAAGAGAAAGGAAAGAAAGGGGGAAGGTGTATGAGAGAAAGCGAGGGAGGGAGGGAGGGAGGGAGGAAAGGATAGGGGAAAAGGGGAGGGAGGAGGGAGGGAAGGGAGAAGAAAGAAAAAAGGGAAGAGAAAGGAAAGAAGAGAAAGGAAAGAAAGGGGGAAGGTGTATGAGAGAAAGCGAGGGAGGAAGGAAGGAAGGAAAGGATAAGGGGAAAGGGGAGGGAGGAGGGAGGGGAGAAGAAAGAAAAAAAGGGAAGAGAAAGGAAAGAAAGTGGGGGAAGGTATATGAAAGAAAGCAAGGGAGGGACAGAGGGAGGAAAAGAGAGACGGAGGGGGTATATGGGGGGAACAAAGGAGGAAACGAAAGAGCCACAAAGAGAGTTTGCCCACCTTTGCCAGAGCTCTGTCATAGAAACATGATGAGAGAGGCCTTCTCAAACCTGGAGCTTTATCAGACTAGCGCTTTCTTGGCATTTCCTGACTTCTGCAGAATTCTAGGAAATGTAGTTTAGAGCAGAACCTTTAGAATTCTCAGATAGAGAGGTCCTCACCTTTCCAAACTACATTTTCCAGAGATCTGCAGGAAAGTAGGATTGCTCACTCGTCTGATAAAGCCCTTGGAGAAGGGAGAAAGTAGGCAGGCAGTGGCCTTTCCGACACCTGGGCAACACCAGGTATGTAGACTAGTAGAGAATAAACAACACTACGTCTTTTCACAGATAGCTGTCACTTCAAATCCTTCCAATGTGTTATTAATCCATTATGATCCATCCTAGACAATGGTATGCTCTTCTCAATGGTGTTAAGCATCAGGCCCGAACTTGCTTACAGATAACTATCCAGCCTTAAACAATTACTTGCCAGCAAAAATAGGCCACACCAACCCCCCCCCCAAAAAAACCCCAACAACAACAACATAAACACAGAAATCAGAATTTGTTAGCAATCCTATCTCCTTACTCCAGTATCACAGTTGCATTAGCTATTAATCTCATCATAACACCAGGGTTGCATGTCATTGAAATATCATGCCCCAAACCAGAGACCAAACTGCAAATATTTGTGATGTCATAGAGTTGAGTCCTTGTGACGTCATAGAAGCAGGGCACACTGTGCCATTGCGCCTGGGGGCTATAACTCTTAGTGAAAGAGGCATGGACGTGACATCTTTCCCCCAGGGGATTGCTTCTTGCCCTCCTTTAGGAAAACTGGAACTCCCAAGGACCAAAACAATGAAGAAAACTCAAAATATTTTTAATTGTTCACAAAGAGTTATCCCTTTAAGGCAATAAGCTGGAAGTTTCAGAGGGGTAAAGGAAAATATACATTACAGTCTCTGGTTGTCTTGGGTCCAAGGAGTTTTGCAGCTGAGAAGCTTTTCCAGGTCCCTCTTTCTCAATGGCTGTGAATATCAGAATAATCACAACCCCAATTCCAATGGCCTATATTTTGAAGGCACAAAGCCTTCCCCTGGTGCCAAAGAACAGGTTTGGAGGCGCTTGAGACTTCTCAATGTCGTCCAGGTTGATCTGAATATGAAGCAAAAGTCTCAAGGGTAAGAACCTCAGAATTGGTGCTGAGGGGTAACTTAATCAAGGGCTTTAGAGCCAAGTCCCTTTCTCACGTCCATCTGCTGAGATGTCTGATGGTGGAATGGAAAAGGAAACACTGTCCTGCTCTCTAGGAAGGGGTGGGGACAAACAATTGAGCAGGAGGAGCAATTCAACTGATGCAAACAACATTGATTGTCAGCTATAAGAACCAATCAATCCAACTATACATTTACAGGGTAAAAAAGCAAAATCAGGTATGATACAACAGTT